AAGGTATCAGCAAACCTAAAATGCTACGGGAAGGGAGGAAAACAGGTCCGCGACGTAGGAAGTGGTGAAGGAAGTAGTCAAGGCGAGTAGTCCGGAGTGTGGGAACTGTTTATGACGATTAGATTAAGGTATCTGCAATCTTTAAATGCAATGGAATGGAGGGAAACAGGTCCATGACGTAGGAAATTGTGTAGGATGTAGATGTGTGGATTTATGTATCTCCAATACTACGGTGCTTTCAGAGTGAACTAATGATTTTCCACGAGCAAAGCTCGGTCCCCAGGTACTATAATCAAATGACGACACTAGCTTGAGGTTCGTGACGTATGAAGAGGTCAAGGAAGTAGTAAAGGTGAACAGTCTGGAGTGTGGAAACTGTTTATGACGATTAGATTAGGGTATCTGCAATCCTAAAATGCTATGGGAAGGGAGGAAAACAGGTCCGCGACGTAGGAAGTGGTGAAGGAAGTAGTCAAGGCGAGTAGTCTGGAGTGCGGGAACTGTTTATGATGATTAGATTAAGGTATCTGCAATCTTTAAGTGCAATGGGAAGGGAGGGAAACAGGTCCGCGACGTAGGAAGTGGTGAAGGAAGTAGTCAAGGCGAGCTGTCCGGAGTGTTGGAACTATTATGACGATTAGATAAGGGTATGGGCAATCAAAAATGCTATGGGAAAGGGATGGAAACAGGTCCGCGACGTAGGAAGTGGTGAAGGAAGTAGTCAAGGCGAGTAGTCCGGAGTGTGGGAACTGTTTATGACGATTAGATTAAGGTATCTGCAATCTTTAAATGCAATGGAATGGAGGGAAACAGGTCCATGACGTAGGAAATTGTGTAGGATGTAGATGTGTGGATTTATGTATCTCCAATACTACGGTGCTTTCAGAGTGAACTAATGATTTTCCCCGAGCAAAGCTCGGTCCCCAGGTACTATAATCAAATGACGACACTAGCTTGAGGTTCGTGACGTATGAAGAGGTCAAGGAAGTAGTAAAGGTGAACAGTCTGGAGTGTGGAAACTGTTTATGACGATTAGATTAGGGTATCTGCAATCCTAAAATGCTATGGGAAGGGAGGAAAACAGGTCCGCGACGTAGGAAGTGGTGAAGGAAGTAGTCAAGGCGAGTAGTCCGGAGTGCGGGAACTGTTTATGATGATTAGATTAAGGTATCTGCAATCTTTAAGTGCAATGGGAAGGGAGGGAAACAGGTCCGCGACGTAGGAAGTGGTGAAGGAAGTAGTCAAGGCGAGCTGTCCGGAGTGTTGGAACTATTATGACGATTAGATAAGGGTATGGGCAATCAAAAATGCTATGGGAAAGGGATGGAAACAGGTCCGCGACGTAGGAAGTGGTGAAGGAAGTAGTCAAGGCGAGTAGTCCGGAGTGTGGGAACTGTTTATGACGATTAGATTAAGGTATCTGCAATCTTTAAATGCAATGGAATGGAGGGAAACAGGCCCATGACGTAGGAAATTGTGTAGGATGTAGATGTGTGGATTTATGTATCTCCAATACTACGGTGCTTTCAGAGTGAACTAATGATTTTCCCCGAGCAAAGCTCGGTCCCCAGGTACTATAATCAAATGACGACACTAGCTTGAGGTTCGTGACGTTTGAAGAGGTCAAGGAAGTAGTAAAGGTGAACAGTCTGGAGTGTGGAAACTGTTTATGACGATTAGATTAGGGTATCTGCAATCCTAAAATGCTATGGGAAGGGAGGAAAACAGGTCCGCGACGTAGAAAGTGGTGAAGGAAGTAGTCAAGGCGAGTAGTCCGGAGTGCGGGAACTGTTTATGACGATTAGATTAAGGTATCTGCAATCTGTAAGTGCAATGGGAAGGGAGGGAAACAGGTCCGCGACGTAGGAAGTGGTTAAGGAAGTAGTCAAGGCGAGCTGTCCGGAGTGTTGGAACTATTATGACGATTAGATAAGGGTATGGGCAATCAAAAATGCTATGGGAAAGGGAGGGAAACAGGCCCGTGACGTAGGAAGTGGTGAAGGAAGTAGTCAAAGCGAGCTGTCCGGAGTGTGGGAACTGTTTATGATGATAAGATAAGGGTATCTGCAATCCTAAAATGCTATGGGAAGGGAGGAAAAATGGTCCGCGATGTGGGAAGTGGCGAAGGAAGTAGTAAAGGCGAGCTGTTCGGAGTGTGGGATCTGTTTATGACGATTAGATTCAGGTATCTGCAATCTTAAAATGCTATGGGAAGAGAGGGAAACAGATCCGCGACGTAGGAACAGGTGAAAGAAGTAGTAAGGTGAGCAGTGTGGAGTGTGGGAACTGGAAACCGTTTGTAGCAGTTCGATTAATGTAACTGCAATGCTGAAATGCAATGAGAAGGGATGGAAGCATGCCCAAGACATAGGAAATTGTGAAAGAAGTAGTAAAGTCTAGCAGTACGGACAGTGGGGATGTTTGTTGAAATTAGATTAACGTATCTAAAATACTAAAATGCTATGGAAAGCGATGAATACAGGTCCACGACGTAAGTGGTGAAGGAAGTAGTAAAGGCTGGCAGTGCAGAGTGGGGGAACCGTTTGAGCAGATGGATAAGTGAATTTGTAATACTTAAATGCTATGAGAAAGGAAGGAAACAGGCCAATGACGTAGTAAATGGTGAAGGAAGTAGTAAGGTTAACAGCGCAGAGTGTGGGAACTGTCTTTGGCAATTACATTAATGTATCTGCAATCCTAAAATGCTATGGGAAGAGAGGGAAACAGGTCCACGACGTAGGGTGTGGTGAAGGAAGTAGTAAATGTGAGCAGTGTTGAGTTTGAGAATGGATTAATGTATCTGCAATGCTTAAATGCTACGGGAAGAGACTGTAGACTGTAATATGTTAAAAATGATTACGAAGCACAAATCGATACATATTTTCGATACATGCAATCGTTTACAATCGAAATTTACAACTGAGTTGACAACAGCTGATTTTTACTCCATAGAGGCTAAAAACGATTTTTACTCCCTAAATATTAAAAATGCTACTTTAGACCCGCAGCGCATTCATGAAAAAATACTGTTTTTACTGCAGTAAGACAAAAACAATATAATATGAAACCTTGATGACTCCGCTCAATTTTGTGGATGCCTCTGCGAACGCCACCTAGTATCACTTTAACATATTTGCAACAGCTGGTCCATGTAGATGGGATGTCTACTTCAGTATCCAAATAGTCTATTAAAGTGACGTATCACAGAGAGTTTTCATGGACCGAAGACTTGTATAACTGCCTACTGAGTGGAATCCGAACCACATTTTTTCCTTGTAATTTACGAATTGGTCTAATTATCAGGATAGTACTGCGGATAGTCGTAGTACTCACTATAAAAAAATTGTGCGGACGTTAATCCACACACGGTAGCATCGCATCCACAGTGCATCCCTATAAATATAATACAACATTGTCCCTAATTGACAGCAAGCCAGTTTGTTTGTTTTGATAAAACCTCAAATACATTCAACATACCTCAAACCGCTTTTAGCTAAAAAAATCCAACTGTAGGCCCAACTGTTTTTGGTCGAGTTTTCGACCACTGGACGATCTCTAGTTCATATTATAAAAGGAAATATAGAATTTGGTCAGCTGTTCTTACTAATCAAGTTAGTTCTATGATATACAATAGCATTAAAAAGTTATAAGGATTACCAACAGGGTGCAGCACTATTATTTTTGACATTTATGACAACAGCTAATTTGAACCATGAACCAACTAACACAATTTTACTAAGCATCCACAGCCTGTGAGGAAACTGTGTTTCTAATTTCATCACAATCAATGTCAATTTTCATCAAGTATGACAATTTCCAAATTTAGTAAACTTGCTAAATGATATTTGGCAAAGATCAGGTATTCACATTTTTGTTGTATTTTATACTCGTTACTACTAAATACAGAGACGGGACCAAGAGTACTTAACTCTTTGTCACTCGTCAAAGTTTTACTTTTGGTTACTATATGATTACAATTGATTTTCCCCAAAATATGTACATGATTTAATATGTTTTATGTAAAAAGGTCACTTTACAATTTAAATACGTTAAACTCATTCAATCGTATTTTAAATGCTCCGAATCATTTACTTTTAGTATGAGAAAATAAAAATATGTTTATCTTATTTTGTTCGTCGACCACTAATTCACTGATCGCATTAAATGTTGTTGCTTAAAAGGAAAGAGTTGTATTTAACACGTTCGCTACTGAAAGAGTACGAAACAATTAAGTTAGCGTATGGAAGCAAATTAAGGTTATCTGATTAGTGTGGTAATTATAAGCCAATCATCGGTCTCACTCAGGTAAGAGACACGCACGACTCTCGGCTTTTAAAAAATATCTATTCTAGAAATCACTAATCATTATTAGAATTAGACCTTTGCTTATAATCGGAGTAGTCAAGTAGCTACTCAAAAATCACTGCGAGTATCAATAGATACAGAATTTTCCTAGTAAACAACCCCTTGCTTTAAATCGCAACAATTTACATTAACTTATCGCTTATAAATTGTATTTTCTTTTAGTTTAAGCAACATTTGTTTTTTGTCTCTTGATAATTTGTTATTATTGTTTAATAAACACACTTCTATAGATTTAGGCTCAGTGACATCTAGTGGTGACTAGACGAACTGTTGCGCGCTTTAGTAACGGGGATACATGTTAGTAGCGCTAGCGTAGTCGTCAAACGCAGTACGTTGTCGCTATTTACGCGACAACGGCTTGTAGACGACGGAACAGTACTGTAATATAAATTTTATAGATGTGATTGAATTTAACATGAATGAAAACGTTGCATGAATACTACTGGTGTAAATAACTTGTTTGGATTAACAACCAGATTTTGTGATAACATCTAAATCCCATTCACGAAAAACCCATTTGGCATTTCTTATCAAATCCCAGCGTGTCAGATACTGATTTTCAGTTATGTGGTGGTGGAAAAATAGACTCTTGTATTAATTTGACCTCTAAGCTGTATTAACTGTATTGTCTGCAGTACTTGGGTCGCTGGTACGAGGCGGAGCGTTACTTCAACCTGATGGAGTTCGCTGGTAAATGTGTCACCAACAACATCACCGACACCAGCACAGACAACAACACACAGCTGGTGATCCTCACCAAACAGACCAGCTGGCTGTGAGTTACTGCTTGAAATCGAGCAATTCATATTGTGTAGTGAATCGTTGCCAGAAAATACTCCTAATAAAAGGACACCTGTCAACTAGCATAGCAACGCTGATGGCGCTGCCTACGTATTGACAGGCAAAGCTCTCTCAAACCGCTTAATGCTTTTTACCATGCGGTTGGCATTCTGGGTTATAGTAGTACGTTTTCTGTGGTCCAAACGAGTATTATGTAGTTAGAATCTGTATTTGTAAAAATGTGACATATCCAACATCTGTGAGACGTTCTATAAACAAAATATAGCAAAATTACAATATTATATTTTCGTAATTATTGTTATGCTGTTATGACTCGTGATTAAAAAATACTTGGGTCAATCCTTAGGCAATGTTTCGAAAAGCCATTTATTTATGGTTTGGTTTAGTGAAAATTCTAGTAAAATTGTTTAACGGTAACACGCAGTGGACGACTTTTATCGAAAATTGTTTCAGTAGACATTATATTATTTCGTAGAACTGTTCGTACATGCCACAATAACAATCGTTAAAATCGAACTATTGCGGGTACATAGGCCTGATCAATAAATAAACCTATGTTATAATCCATCAAACCAATTTTTGGGTTGTAAATAGAGGATGTTTATGATATGATATTTATGGTGACCGCTGTATGAATTATAGTTTTTTCACATCAAAAAATCTGATTTTGAATTGGATTTTTGTATGTTACGTGTATGCTGTAGACTGTAGAGTTCATTGTATTGGTTTTGCTTGTTTGTTGGTTTACTTGTTTAACTGTAACATTGTGTGTAACAGGACCGATATAAACTCCTCAATGAAGGGGCAGATGAGGCCGACGGACCAGAGAGGCGAAGCTGCCAAGATGATCGTCCGATACCTTCCAAGTATGTAAACATCAAAATGTCACTATGGTATAAGTGACGTATCACAGAGAGTTTTCATGGACCAAAGACTTTTAAAACTACTTTTGCATGAATACTACTGGTGTAAATAACTTGTTTAGAGTAACAACCAAATTTTGTGATCACACCTAAATCTCATTCCTGAAAACCCCATATAGCATTTCTTAGCAAATCCCAGGAAGTCAGATACTGATTTTCAGTTATGTGTCGGACATTATGGTACGAGGTATCCTACCAAATATATTGTGTTTAAGAAGACACAAATGTCTTCTTTGACAAATTTAATATTTTACTATCTTTGTATTACTGAAACCAAAAAAATCTTACCTGGTTGAAGTGTTAGTGAGAATGTCATCAAAAACACATCAACAGAAAAAAAGTAGGTATGTACAGTTTTAATCAAAACGTTTTTAGGTAAATCTTTAATCGCGTATAAGACTTGTATAATGGTTTGATTGTGTGTGTTACAGTGGACCTGTCTGTAAATCACTGGATTCTGGACACTGACTATGACAACTACGCCGTGGTCTACTCATGCGTAGACATTGGTTCAGTGCTCAGCACGAGTGAGTATTGTTTATTAAATATATCTTGACTGCAATCTGATATTTTGTCTAATGTTTAGAGCGTGGGACTTCAGTTCCTAAAGGTCTCGGGTTCAAATCCTGCAATGGATTTTATCCATGTGATAATGCCGCAACCCCTAGGTCTAGCCTGAAGTAATGTGAAAACAATCCCAAGATCTGTGATTCTGTAAATAACAATACCTACATATTACGGTGTTACAAACATAAGTACTGGGTTCTGTAAAACCAGGTTATGCATAACAAAATAAGCATAAAATATCCAGTGACATTTTTTCTTTTTCAAATTAGTTTAGACACTATCCACCATTTTGTAATTTGTCTGAAATAACTAATAACTTGAATCATTTTGGAGTGTAAAAAAATTGGTCCAGGACAATTTAGCTAAAATAAGCTCAAAACAGCGTGATTCCACTATTCTACTGAACAGTGTTATAATGAAACCAGGTCAGCAATAAAAAGGTTACCTATACGACCCAATTTAAGACAGTCTCTATACTGCAGCTGTATAAACTATGGGGTTAGCTGGCCAAATAGTTTCGAACTTTGTTCTGGATGCCTAAATTAAAATCCCACCAAACACCAAACTTTTGAATAATGCCACGACACAGTGATTCGAAACCTAAAATAGGCTGTAGCCTATGTAGAATTGTACTTGAAAAAAGATAACCTCTACCCTCCAAGTCGAAGGAAACTTTTACCAAATTAGTAAATTCTCCACCAAAGGGATTTGAACTATGTGTGTTGACCACTAGCTTTTAACTTGAAACATTTACCGTTTGGTACACTCCACTCCTATGTCTGCAGGGAACGCGTGGATCCTGACCCGAGACCGTTCGCCATCGCTGGAGGTGATGGAGAAGGCGTATTCTGCTATAGATCGCAACAACATCTCACGGGCGTTCTTCATCAGAGTTGACCAGAGTGACCGAAGCTGCCCGGAGCATGTAGTCAAGGAGTAGCACTGTACACCCAACCTTCACTGCAGAGAAGAAATAAGTGAGGGAAATTCCTGGTGTTTCTTTTTGTGTGGACCAGGTCTGCATAATTCAGAAGCTAATTACTGGAACGTTTTAAAAACGCGATGTTTGATTGCGATTCACAAATATTTATGAAAGTGTACAGCTTTGTCACGTTTAAAAAAGATTGTGGCTGTCATAAAACTGGTAAAAAGAGTGCTGCTTCGTTGTAAAAATTAAAACTTATTTTTCACAGTTACTGCTGTGAATTAGACCTACCCTCGTACTTGAAATCATTCATAATGGTGAATAGATATCAAACCCGTAACATACAAACAGTAGGCATACTCTTCAATGTTTAACATTAAAATTATTTATATAGAATAAGTTATGTCATAATTTGGATTCTGTGTGTAGAGGTTTCATCCAATTGTAGTTTATTCCTATAGAACTTTGGCTTGAGCTACAAGTCCGGTAACGGTGTGTTTGTGGCAAGTTTCTCTCTTATTTTAAATTAGAGGTTGAATAAACTTTTCGTTAATTTTACAAAGTGGTTTTGACTGGAGTAAATAGAATTGCATAATAGAGGAATTCCGAGAAAAAACATCTAACTGTTATTGGTTAGAATAGCATAAAAGTGGAAGTGCAATTCAATAGTAAACATTGGGTTTCATTACGTAATACGTTGTTAGTCAAAGGTAATACTGTTCTGCAATGATTTTTACCGGACACCAACCAGCTGATTATTCTGTATTTCTGGCAATGAGTGGTTATAAACAAAAACATAACCTCTCTTAGAGGTTGACAAGTGATTGTTAGTCCTTAAGTTGGTTTGGTGGTAATATATAAGGATTTGAACAGATTTAGTAATATGGCATAAACTATCGTACGACACTCGTCGAACTAGTAACGTAATATACTATTAAAGTTTCATGTAGTGTAGTGTTAAGAAAACTAATTAAAAAGCTATACTAAGGATTGTTTATAATAATATTTGGTTAAGCTGTAGATTATTCTATGTTACTAAGTAGGCTATGTAGTCTAGTTATGCTTAGTAAGTATTTAGTAAGACTCATTGAGCATGTTTGATGCTCGTTACATAAGATTACAAGAAAATTACTGTACATAGTTAGTTAAGTATTTATTTTATTTATTTAGTTAAGTAAAACTTTATTGTATTTTTTATCAAAATATAAATTAAACAATGTTCCCCAAAACATGTATTGTTTGGTTACAAGAAACACCTGTACTTTACTTTTGCAATATTTTTGTTAACTGATTGCTTCAAAATTTTTTCACTCAAACAGGTTTTATTCTGATAGTACACAATTCAATACATCCATTTATTAAATTCCTATTTCTTTAAGGTTCGGCATTTTTGAAGACAATCTTTTCAAAGATTATTGTATAAAGGTTTAGCTTATTGTATATCTAGTACAAAACACATACAAGAAGAGTCCGTGAAACTTCTTTGGATCATGTTTCACAAAAAGTAATGAACCTTTTTCCGTTTAAAAAATTTACGAGCATAATAAGCAAGAGCTAAACTGGAGGTAATATTTTGCATCAACGAAGAGTCGAATTTACTTTTACATTACACTTGCATTTAAAACTTAGTTAATAATCAACTAAAGCCCGATCTATATTAGAAGGATTGGACAATAGACGATGAAAATTCTCTTTATTTAGTTTCTTTCCTTAACGCCTTATCATGCAAAAAAAAACTGTTTACAAATTACCTCAAAATAAATTATGTTAAATTTAAAATAGATTCAACAGTACCAAACCTTCAATTTAAAAATACACATATTTAATTTTTGGGGCGGGGGGAGGTTTATGCCATCATAATTGTTTTGTTGTGTTGTTGTTGTTGGTTTTTTCTTGAAAACAGTCCAACGCTGGTCTTGTTGCTTTCTAACGTCGCCATTTTGTTATATACCATTATCAATTGTGTGTTCAATGCAGTTTGAGATTTGAAATTAAATTCATAACGCAATAGATGGAAAGCAATGACTAATATTTTCAAACTTCATATTCATTACTCATTCTTATATTTCAATTTAAGTTCACAAATCTATAGAAAAAACTAAAAAAATCAGAACATAATTTTGTGCTTATCACTATATTATGAATACTACTGCTTACCATATTACTGCTTATATTACTACTTATCACTACTATTAGAATACTATGACCTTTTTAAACTCAATTCAAAGAATCGCATAAAGTAAAAGAAAGACTTACACCCTACAAGGAGTTTACACTCCATTCACTCGAGTGGGGCCCAAGAATGGAGGGATGAAAAAGAGTGATAACCACGTTACCCGACCTTGTGGGTTATCAGTGATTGTGCGGCTGCAAACAGCTGATAACGTTATGTCCCTTAGGCTCGCCCAGCTGTGAGATTGGCCACCTGCGACAAATTGTCTCCGAGGGTATAAAACAGCTCCGGTCCTGCCGCGCGCCCAGAACCCACCCCAGCGTCCTACAAGCAACAGGTAGGCCAGTAGGTGTTGTGATGTACAGTTGTCGAGTTTGTAATTTTTATTTTTAAGTAGTGTTCTTTGATGGAAGTTGTGTATAATGCCTTCTGTTTTTTTTTGTTAGCGTGTTTGAGCCTCAAACGAACAAACTTACAAACACACAAACTTTCACATTTAAAATAATATGTATAATAATGGATTATGAGAATTATTTTACTGACTTGTTTAATGCATGAATTGATATCAATGTTTTAAAAACCCCTTTTATTGTAAAAAAAATACTAATTTTTGGAACCCATTAGTTTCTATTGCATTGAGCTCTCAGTTTCTATATTAACTGAGAGCTATTGAAAACTTAAAACGCCTTTTATTCAATGCTTAAATATAACGATGGTTGCGCGTAACATAAGCGAAAACGTAAGCGAAGTCTTAAATTCGGACAACAATTTGTATAACTAAACAATAAGCCTATTGCGTTTCCGACGAATTTTATGAAACACACAGCCTTGCATTATTTGTATGTACATAAAACCTACAAAGGTTTATGTATTACAATAGTATTAAATTTAAATAACATTGCCGGTGAATTGCGCTTTTTTAGCGAATCTCTTACAGTGCTACCTTTGACTATTGATACAACTTCTGTATCCAATAGTCAATGGTACTAAACTCCTGCTTTTCTTTTACAAATACTTCTCCTGAACAACTGAAGCGATACCCAAGAGATTTAACACAGCCATAGTAACCATCTACGGGAAGGTACATCTGAAATGGCACGAATAGGACTACAGGGCTTTTTCCTTCATCAGTTTAAACTTTCGGAAATTTAACATGGGCATTATGGGTTTATTGATCACCATGACATTATTTGAAAGATAACAACAACAGATAACGTTAACTGGAAGTAAACAAAATAATCATAACACACCTATGTTAGTCAACGAATCATCTAAACAACCACATTACAAATACAAAACAAAAGAAAAGAACAATCGGATTAATGTAGTTGAGCATAATTACTACAAAATAATCCAATTACGTGATTACCAAATTCCACATTCCAATGATTTGCCGTTTAGGGTCGCTGGAATTGCACCATAGACTTTATAAACTCCATTTAGCCATCCCATTTATGTGAATCGTATAAACCACAGCACGGCTGACAGTCTATATTTAATTCTGTCCATGGTTCTACCTTGCCTTGTAATCATTTAATTGTTTTGTGTATTGCATCTACAGCCATGCGTCGTACTCGCCTGGTGATCTTGCCTGGGGCACGCTGCCTGACTAGGCTATTCTGCCTGCTGCTCTACCTCGCCTGTCCCAACATCTGTGCTGAAGGTCTGGAGCAGCCCGAATGTCGCCTGGCGGACTACAACATGCCTGTGCTTGAAAACATCGTGCTGTGAGTAATATTTTTACTAGTCTACCTACTCACATAATATTATTTGAGATACCCGTGTGCATTCTTACTGTGGCCTTGTGCATCCAAACAGCTAAGGGATTGCTTGTTGGTGGTAATTATAAATTATATTTTCTATTTCCTTATTTACTAGCAACCTATCTTGACTTCATTCAAGCCGTATTAGAAAGTGTGATCGGCTATCGCAAACTATGAAAGTATCCGGACTTGGATATATCTCTGTTACGAATTTGGTACAAAATCTTCTTTTGGAGGAACGAAAATCGAGAAAAGTTATGATATAATTTATTTTGTGACATATAAAACTAGTGTTTTCCGTACCCCAACCTGAAATTGATCAATAAGTCATTTACGAAGGTAGTACTCTATTTATCTTTTAGTGGTACAAAAAGGCACGAAGTACTGCATCATAATATAGTTTGGTACAAACAAACAGGTACAAAATGAGTACATTATTAATCTGTATACAGTAATATAGCTACAACTTATGTTTTAAGTGTAAGTCCTCATTTTAATGGTCCAAACAATCTTAATCTTATCTATAATTTCTGAGTGGTACCAAACTAGTACAATAATATGGCATATACAGTTTGATATTTAAGGCAGTTATGATTTTGGCGTTGACATGTACCCTGACTTTTACTTTATAAGTTAGATATAAGTATTTTAGGGAAGGAGGTAAATGATGAAAAAATACAAAACTGTACTAAATGTTTTTGTTAAAAGCTTACGAATTTCATAACGGGGTAAACCTATGGAACTATTTTTCTCTGTTTTTATAACTTAACATTCAACACGTCCGCTACTGAGCGTCGCATATATGCGACGCCGCGGTCATTGCACAGACCGAGGTATACATTTGAATCTTACACAGACCGGCTGTCAATTGGATAACAGTACACACAGACCACGGGTGAAAACCTGTAAGACAGTGATCATTTACATTGTAATACGCTACAATCGTGTTTGTAAATAATTTATTCTTGTTTTTTGGTATTTTTTATAATCTTTTGTAATGTCGCATATTTGCGACGCCCGGTCTACAGCGAAGACAATATTGAAAATTATCATAGTTTTCTTGAAATAGACCAAACGTCGCATGTAAACTAAAGTTAATTTTTGTTTGTTTTGAGGTGAAAGTAAGTAAAAAAAAAAAAACAGATTATTCAAGAACAGTTTATAACTAAACAAATATAAAAACTACATAGGATAATGCAGCATACACACATACAGTGATGCAGAAAAGTATCATATGACGTCACCAATCATCATATCCACAGACCAAGCGACGCAGTTGTGCGTCAGACATCTCTATAGACCACTGATGCAGGGAATTCAGTGCCTTCAAATAGACCATTACAAAGATATGAGCATTTTAATAATATTAGAACCCTGTCGCAAATATGCGACTGCAGTCTATGGATGGAAACCGGCCGTCGCATATGTGCGTCGCTGGTCCATGTGAATGACAAATTTCGTACTATTGCAGTAGCGAACGTGGTAAAACATAGTCCGTTTTATCTATGCTTAAACGTTTCTATTAAGGCCATAAAAGTTGAATTGTGTTTCTATAAGCGTTGGCGGAGGTGTAACTATTATATGCAACAGATGTAAAGATTAAAATGTTCTATTTTGTGTCATCTTCCCGTTGCAAAGCACGGGTACAACAGCTAGTATAAAAACAAACTGGAGTCTAAACCTTCGCTAAATCATCAAGATGTTGTCCCCTGGCGCTGCGGAGTGGGGGAAATGATTCTCCCTCCACCTCCCCTCTAGACGGCGTCCAAACAAGCCCGCGTTGTTTTACATGCATATCATATACCTATGCTGCAGTTTTTCAATAAGCTAAAAAATGAATATTTATAAAATTAAACTGTCATAAACTAACCTAACCAACCAAACATGCTGATTATATAAAAAAATATATAAAATAATAATCGAATGAAGGTTTACTAATCGAAAAAATAGTTCTGTTCATAAAATAAAATTATAAATGCCTAGAATTCAATTTTATAATTTATTAATTATAAAATTAAACTGTCATAACCTAACCAAACCAACCAAACTTGCTGATAATGAAAAATCGAACAAGGTTTACTAATAGAAAAAAAATAGTTCTGAAATTATAATAGCTCAAATTGAATTTTATAATGTTTTAATTAACAAATTAAACTGTCATAACCTAACCAAACTAACCAAACTTGCTGATAATGCAAAAATCTTAGACAAAAAGTTAGTGCTATCGAGAGGATTCGAATCTGGTACCTTCAGATCCTCAGCCCGGCACGTTATCCATTAGACCACCGACGCCGTTGGCTACAAACCGTATCGTTGCGGTAATGGTGTTCCCTCAGCCAATAGAATGCTTTGCTTGCCCCACTCCGCAGTGCCAGGGGACAACATCGTGATGATTTAGCGAAGGTTTAGACTCTAGTTAAAAACAAAACGGTTCCTATGGTTTTTGTATATTTATGTTATCCAGCTATGTTTTTCTTGATCTTTAAAATACACTCCTGGGGCCCATTTCATAATAAAGTACAAACTAATATTATTAGTAAATCAGCTGATCGCTCAATGCAAATCTAATGGAAATTACAAGTTACAAGCATCGATCTCTATTATTACTCGATGGTTACAAGTTATTACTTGTAACTTGTAGTTTATTATGAAATGGGCCCCTGATATTTTATTTTATCTCTTATCTATCTTTATTGTTCAGGTTACATGATCAATGTTTATAAAAATAAACATTTAAATGCTTTTGTTAAATAGGTGTTGAATTGGAAATAATGTTTCCGATGTGATTGAATTTAACATGAATGAAAACGTGATATATTTCCTTTACAATATAACAATTCTCCATTTGAATCGCTGAGCTGTACAGTTAAAAATAAATAAATACAGATAGATACAGTAGTAAAACAATATTATTTCATCGTTTTTGCATCTTATGTAAAAAAGACCAAAATATGTACCTTGGTTCCTAGTATTATTACTATAACTTTTGAACCAAACAAATAACTAGGATTGCTTTCATAGCAGTGAAAGCCAGCTGAGCGGAGCAATCATGTTTCATGATTTTTATTGAATCAATAAATACAAAAATGTTTATAGATATAATAGAAAATACAAATATTCCAAAACTCTGCACTGTTACTGTTAGCGTTTATTACATTCTTCCTACGTCGTGGCCACAGAAAACGTACTACGTTTTCTGTGGTCATGGCCTATAAAATAAACATCTTAAAAAGAAAAGTATATAGTACTAGCTGTTACCCACGGGCTTCATCCCGTTTGACTTCATAAGTATTAATAAAACGATTGATTGGTTAAGTTTAGCTGAAATAAACTAAATAGAATACAGTTATACAAACGAATAATCACACCTGATTTTAATCTATCTATTCTATATATAATTCAGTTTTATATAAAATTTATATTACAGTACTGTTCCGTCGTTTACAAGCCGTTGTCGCGTAAATAGCGACAACGTACTGCGTTTGACGACTACGCTAGCGCTACTAACATGTATCCCCGTAACTAAAGCGCGCAACAGTTCGTCTAGTCACCACTAGGTGTCACTGAGCCTAAATCTATAGAAGTGTGTTTATTAAACAATAATAACAAATTATCAAGAGACAAAAAACAAATGTTGCTTAAACTAAAAGAAACTACAATTTATAAGCGATAAGTTAATGTAAATTGTTGCGATTTAAAGCAAGGGGTTGTTTACTACGAAAATTCTGTATCTGTTGATACTCGCAGTGATTTTTGAGTAGCTACTTGACTACTCCGATTATAAGCAACAGTACAGTCTAATAATGATTGATGGTATAGAATAGATTTTTTAAAGAGCCGAGAGTCGTGTCTCTTACCTGAGACCGATGATTGGCTTATAATCACTACACTAATCAGATAACCTTAATTTGCTTCTATACGCTAACTTAATTGTTTCGTACTATTTCAGTAGCGAACGTGTTAAATACGACTCTTTCCTTTTAAGCAACAACATTAATTGCGATCAGTGAATTAGTGGTCGACGAACAAAATAAGATAGACATAACTTAATTATATTTTCTCATACTAAAAGTAAATGATTCTGAGCATTTAAAATACGATTGAATGAGTTTAACGTATTTAAATTGTAAAGTGAGACCTTTTTACATAAAACATATTAAATCATGTACATATTTTGGGAAAAATCAATTGTAATCATATAGTAACCAAAAGTAAAACTTTGACGAGTGACAAATAGTTAAGTACTCTTGGTCCCGTCTCTGCATTTAGTAGCAACGAGTATAAAATACAACACAAGTGTGTATACCAAGAAACTAAATTAAATCTGGAAATTGTCATACTTGATGAAAATTGACATTGATTGTGATGAAATTAGAAACACAGTTTCATCACAGGTTGTAGATGCTTAGTAAAATTGTGTTAGTTGGTTCATGGTTCAAATTAGCTGTTGTCATAAATGTCAAAAATAATAGTGCTGCACCCTGTTGGTAAACCTTATAACTTTTTAACGCTATTGTATATCAGAGAACTAACTTGTTTAGTAAGAACAGCTGACCAAATTCTTTATTTCCTGTTATATGAAGTAGAGATGAAGTACAGATTATTCACAGTGGTCGAAAACTCGACCAAAAACAGTTGGGCCTACAGTTGGATTTTTTAAGCTAAAAGCGGTTGAGGTATGTTGAATGTATTTGAGGTTTAATGAAAACAAACAAACTGACATGTTGTCAATTAGGGACGTAGTTGTATTACTTACGAAAGAATGTTCATTTAAGATCAAATAAATTTAATTTAGTATATGCCATTGTTTTATTAGAAAACACTCAGTTTTTAGGCTACTGCATTTTATAAACCAAACTCGAATCTTGCTTCCTTGGCCTATTATGGGTCAAAACTCAAAAAGTTAGTCTATAAAGGTTTATCTCGTCATCTCGAGAGTATATAATTCTGACCCCTAACCTGAA